CGTTTGTCCCTGTCCATTTTACGAATGATGACCTCCTGTCCCCTCACCACGGGGAGTAGCCCTTTTTCACGGAGACGGTCACTCCGACTGTTCCAGACATTTTTCATTTCTCCGACTTACGTTATCAAAAATAAAGAGAAAAGTTGTTTCTAGCTTTTTTTTCAGTTTTTTTATTTCTTATTTCAAATTTATTAATGTCGAAATGGCGTCACACCGTTGAGTTTTCTAAACTCAACAACCTTAGGTGGGACCAGACCCCAGGTTGCAATTTTGTCATTTCGCAACCTGGCATGCCGTCGTCCTATCAGTGTTTTTTTTTTTTTTTTTTTTTTCTTCCCTTAAACCTTGAAAACTTTCATTTGAGGCCGGGGACCAGTAGTTCGAAAACTGCAGGGGAAGGGTGCGGTCGTCGTCATGACACAGTCCAGTAGCTCAAGCAGGAGCCCGGCAGCTTGCAGGGCGGGCGGCCAGCAGTACATTGTCGAGGTCGCTGGATAGTAGTTAAGGGCGGCGCCCACACTTGTTTTTTTTCTTTTCTGAGACTTCTTTCTTTTGTGTTTTCAATAAAAATGTCAAAAGGGCGACAGCCTTGAAAATATCATAATCGGACGTAACGGCCCTACGTAATCCAGAATTGTAGTATTTTACCCAATGCATCTGCTTCTAATATGGAGTTGGATCTCGGGTCTGTATTTCGGCACTTCAAGGGCATACCCCTGAGTTAGGCCACTTGGGGCATCCACACTTTCCTATTTGGGTGAAGGTCGCAAGTTTTTTTTTTTTTTTTTTTTTTTTTTTTTTTTTAATAGAAAACTTCAACTGCGGGAAAACCCACTTAATGAGGTGATAAGAGCAGCCCCGTTAAGTGGGTCCCAACGTTGAAGGCTCCATCTATTGGTGGGGAGCTACCTACACCTGCTGGAAATCGGGTCCAGCATCCCTGTAGAATGGCGGCGTATGTCTGCTGGAAACCGGGTCCAGCATCCCTGTAGAATGATGTGTAAGGATGTTATATCCAATACTGTCCAAGTTCTCTAATGATAGCCTACCGCGGCGGCGCGGCCGCGGCCTGAACCAACCGAGTGCCCTGGTTGGGAGTCTGCGAGAGGAGGTAGGTCCAGAGGAGGGTGGACCAGGTGGCGGAGGAAGCGCTGGCGGGGGGAGGAAGCCTGGCGCTTCTGCTGGCGGTGGAGGTTGTGAGGGGTTAGGGACGTATTGGGGATTGTTGTATGTGAGGTACAGGTTTTGGAGATTGCCGGAGCTTGGGGCGGGGGGATACTGAGTGTAAGCGGGATGAATGTGATACGGTGATGGCATGAGGGCCGAGACTGACAGGTATGGGTCTGCACGGGGAGGATGAATTGCGAGAGGCTTATGGGATGAGTCAGCGTTCGTACGGAGGGGAAGTCGGAGCGGGGGAGGAGCTTGTGGGTAGTGGATGGAGACGAGGGGCGGTGATGACAGAAGGCCTGAGAGTGGGTGGAGGGCATGAGAAGTGACTTGGGGGGGAGGATTGGGTTGGTTTGACAACGACAATTGATGCGTTTGATTGTGGTGCGTGGAAGCATACAAGTAATCACAAAAAGAGAGAGAGAGAGAGAGAGAGAGAGAGAGAGAGAGAGAGAGAG